TTGCTTGGACGCCCCAACAACCACCACACGAGGATTGGGGACGTATGTTTGATCTCCGTAGCCCTTTTCCGCCGTCACGTAGACTTCAATCTATGTAATCTCATTTGGGCACATCTAAAAAAGGAAAGCATGGCCAAAGGTGCCATTGTCATGGGTGGGGTAATTATGCACTTGGCAAGCAAGTTCGGGTATACGGATAACTCTCCTATACCCGACTATTGTTTGATGGACATAGGTTGGTTAGGCCGCTCGGGATGCACCTCTTTTTCCCATACGGTATATATTGGGGACCAACCGAAGAACAAGTATAATTGGATCATACACACCCAACCGGTCCAATATTTCCTAATGCCAAGCCCGGACACCCCCAAACTACGCTACAAACCGGAGTTCGAGGAACCTCACTACCTATTCCCTCACGCCCTTCCACCACATCTCCAAGAACCCGACGCCCAAAACCCCCCCGAAGATCAACACGACCAAGAGCAACAAGAGCACCAAGAACCCGAGGATGCACCTCACCCCATGCTCGAATACAACCAAGCCCCACCACCCACCGATTACTTCCAACAATTACTTGACGGGTTCAAGAGAGTTACCAATGAAGTTGGTAAGTATCGGGAAGAACAAAGGGCGGGATTTCAAAGAATAGAAGAGCGAAGGGCCGAAGACAACCGACGGTATGAAGAGGATCAACGTAGGTTCTATGGACCTATGTACTCTTACATGGCTCATCAAGGCCAATTCCACACCATGGCTCAACCACCACCACCCCCCTCTTGGTATGACCCCACTCAATGGGGTAATTTTGGGGGATCTAGCTCCAGGGGTGGAGGTTTTGATGGAGGGGATGACGGCGGCGACACCCACATGGGCGATGGGAGCTTTGGAGGAGGCTTTGGAAGCAGCTTTGGAGGCAGTTACTACGGTGGAGAAAGCGGGCACTAGGGACAGTGCTTCAACTAAGTGTGGGGGAGGAGATTACTCATGGTATGTAATTTTATTTTCTACCTTTTACTATGCATGAATTTCTTTTACCCTTTGTTTTAAAAAATAAAAAAAAAAAAAAAAAAAAAAGAGAGAGAGAAAAATGGATAAAAGAATTGAAATGCTAGTTAGGTTGAAAACCCAAAAAAATGGGCAATCTAAGCAAAAATGGCTTTAAAAAAAAATGAGTGAGTTGGGGAGGATGGAAAAACACAAAGAGATGCTAGGATGAAAACCTGAAAAGGCTCCTAGGCAAAATGAGAGATATGAGAGGAATATTTTTCTGTGTGCAGGAACTCACTTGATCTTTTGGGGAGAAAGAGGAGAAACAGAGAAAAAGAGAAGAAGAGGAAGAAGAGTCAAGAAGATGGAGCATAGAAGATCATAAAACCCAAGAGAGAATGTTGTTTGTAAAATCATTTCTTATTTCTTGGTGATCTTAGTTCATTTCTTTCTTGAACTCATGGAATGGTCTTAAACTGTTTGAACATTTGACTTTACTCGAGGACGAGTAAAGAACTAAGTGTGGGGGAGTTGATACGTTTGTAATTTCCGTATGTTTATTTACGTTTTTAGTTAGTTTTGATTGTTTAATATCTCGGAAATTACACACTTTCGGTGTAATAGTTTAGTTTGTTAAATTCTTGTAATTTGTTTAGATTAGGTTTATTCTGAGCTTAAACAGGTCCAAGATCAATCAAATGATCAATGGTGAAGGAAGGTGCAAGAGTACAAGACAAAAGAAGGAAAAATCCTGACTTTGGTCTATACTCGGTCGAGTATATACATATACTCGATCGGGTATCTGGTTGACATTTCAAATCGGATCGGATCCGAAAACAAAGGAACATGCAGGAGAAGATTTTCCCACGTTCGAGTGTCTATACCCGATCGGGTATACTTATATACTCGATCGGGTATACATATAAAATCTACTCGAGTATTGATCGAGTATTGACCATATTCTGATTTCTATACATACTCGATCGAGTATATATACATACTCGATCGAGTACCCGAGCTGCACTCCCAAAAAGCCTATAAATACACCCCCTTTCCTTCACAATAGGATACCAATTCACATATACTTCTTAGCTCAGTTTAGACAAGTTCTTTCTTTATATTTTTCATCATGTTTAGTCTCCAAATGAGGAGCTAAACTCTTCCATCTTGGTTTTGCTACTTTGAAGCTTAATGATTTGTAAGTTGTGAGTTATTTTCTTTAATCCTCTTCCTTGAATATTAATTACTTCCTATTCATATCCCCTATTAATATATTGAGCATTACTTAAAGTATCAACTAGTCTTGTTCTATATATTAATTATTACTAGAATCAATCGGTTAATACGCTTGTTATTAATTCGGTTCTTTCAATGGTAGTAAACTTGGATTGTTAATACATGCTTTTCATGGTTAATAATCTAAGGGGAATTAATTATATTGATTAAACCAATAAACCGCTTGTGTTGAGGTTATCAATCTCAATCGTTTTCATCTTAAGTTTATTGCTACTATCAAGTTAATATATGGCGCTTGTTCTATATTGACTCGATAGTAAGTTTTGTTAATGAACGCTTCTCGTTATTAATAACTACCCTCGATGAACTGGATATACTCCTCGATTGAGTATTCGAGAGGAAGATAGTTAAAGATATAACCGGGATCGACGAACATTTCATTAAGTGGATAAAAGCAAAGCCAAGTCTCCTTCTCATTAATTAAACCACATAACTCGTTCATCTTCGTATTTAATTAAATTAAATCACTCAAACCTAAACCCCCCCTTTTGTTACTAGTTAATTAAAAAGAGAAATATTCCTTTCCCTGTGGATACGAACCTTACTTCATTATACTACGTATAATTGTTGTATTGTATTATTACTTTGAGTGCACATCACGACAAAGTGCACGTCAGCGTCTTCTGCCTCCGCCTGGCGGTCCGCACGCCCCAAGGCTTCCTCGTATAGAGTTGGTGGATTCCTGACGAAATCCTTGTAGAGCTCCCCTGACCGGATAGAATGCGTCAGCATAGCTACCCCAGTCCTGTCGTCAAGGCCCTGGACCTTGACTGACTCCGCTCTCCACCTTGTCAGAAAGGCAGACAACGCCTCCTTCCTTCCCTGCTTAAGACCGAATAGGTGACTGAAATTTTTCTTCACGTCCCGGGAGCCGGCGAACCATAAGAGGAAACGCCTGGCTAGCTCCCTAAAGTTTCCGATGCTCCCATCGGGCAGTGTGTCATACCACTCTCGAGCCGGGCCGTCTAGCGTAGCTGCGAATCCCCTGCATCGTATGGCGTCTTCATATCCCATCATGACCATATATGACAGATATCGTGATATATGGTGTTGTGGGTCTGAAGTGCCCTTGTAAGTCTCGATATTGCAAGGTTTGTACCCCCTTGGCAACGGTGTTTCCATCACAGCACGAGTGAATGGTTCCGGGATGTGGAGGTCGGCCACGTATGGCTCTCCCCCGACGACCCTTCTCCTCAGCTCATCCAGCCTTAGCCTTAGATCTTCCACTGCGTCAGGGGCCACTTCGGCCCGTACTCGTCCAGCCCGGAGCGGAGCTTGCACGGAAGACTCTGCCATCCTCTCATGCACGGGAAGACGAAATTCAGCCTGACGTCCGCTCGGGGAACCGGCCCGCCTACCCGGTTGGCGGGGGAGATAATATGAATCATCCCCTCCTTCCCGGGAAGGTTGTTGCTGGGAAGGCCTCCTTCCGGGTTGCTGTGGTTGTTCGACATGCCGGGGCAACTCCCTTCTGGTACCGTTAGTGCTGGTGCGTCTCCCTTCATACCGCCCGGAGGACACTTCGACGTCCCTAGGAGTGATGTTGCTCAAACGCTCGTTCTCTGCCTCTTGTGGTATAAGTCTTCGAAACCCCTGGGCCAAATCCTCAATGGCACGGGTAGCCTCCTGTAGTGCCTGCACCCCAACATCGAGTGGCGTCGGGTTCCCGCGAAGAGCAGCACGACGCCCTCTTCCGAGTCGCTCATGGACGGGTCGCCTCCCACGACTGTTGTTCAGCGAACCCCTCAGGTCTCTAGGGCTCGAAAGGCTGTTCCTCAGATCTCCCATTGGCCTCACCACTTGACTTCTCATACGTTGGCCGTTGGGTTGCTCCGAGCGTTCGGTGTGAATGGAAATTCGCTCCTGCCTCGATGCTCCTGCCATCTTCGTCTTCTTCAAAGTTTCTACCGAAAGAATGAGAGAATGGCTCTCAATGAAAGCACCAATGTTGGTAGAAAATAACTTGAGAGGAAAAGTGGCAGCACTTCAATATAGCAAAAGTGACGTAGCCAATACATGGGGGGTGATGGTCTATTTATAGGCATCCATCACAGGCCCCAACAGTCTAATCTATGTGGGCTTAGCCCGAATACATAATGCACATTCAAGCTAAAGGGCGAACCGGCCCGACAAATGAGTCAATGTGCACGGGGCCATTCCCGCTCGTAAGACCGCGCCTCGAGCCTAGTTGGGTCGAAGCTCGGGGATAACGGGCCGATGACATTGGGCCAGGCCCATTATCCCAACACAGGCTTTATATGTACCAGAGGGGTCCAAATACCCAATCTGGATATAGGTATACGAATTACAAAACCGAAACTTTGGGGAATAATACAAAACCCAGACTGTAGAATAGAAAATGGAATACCTAATCTAATATGCAAAACCGAATTTGAGTGAAAAAATTGTGCTGTCGCAAGTTAGGTTTAACCTTTGATCCAAGAAATTTAAAAAATCTAACACACACAATATTCCTGGGACGTCGATTGCGACATGGAGGAGTTTTGTCGGTGTGGGAGGCCTTGTATATGAGAGAGGAGAGTTTTTCTTGTGCTTGAGAGAAACTTTGCGGAAGAAGGAAGCTTGGTAGAACCGTAGAAAGTCGATGGTGTATGAATGGAAAGTATGAGGAGGCGTGCAGTTATACTAGGGTATGGACGTAATAAAAATTTCAAAGGGCTTTAAAATAAGGGATGGATAGTCAATATGAAAATGCTTAAGTGACCGGTTAATAAAACATGGGGGGCGTGTGTTTATTAAACGGCGATTAAGAGGCCTATCGGCTTAGTACACAAACATTTATCCAACAGGGAACGTTTACTTCAAGCTTCGTAATACCCTAACGGTGAGTTACACGGTCAAGTAAACATGTCCTAAGTATAGCTCTTTTCTTAAATTTAATGTCACAAGAAAACAAAATACACGTCTAATTGTCCATTGGCCCACATAAATAACGAATAACACATAATAAACAAGATGACTAATTATCAATTAACTAATCAGGCTAGCCTTGAAGTCCAAGTCCATGATAGTGCTGAGGTTCATTGGATGCATATAGTCAGTGGTTCCATTCATGATCTGATCCACTATCATTCGGTTAGCCCTTTCTGATGGGTGGAATGCATCCCAAAATGCATATTCGTCTCTATTCGGGCATAAGTTTGATAGTGGCGTGCATAAACCCAGTCCATTGAATCGCCCTTGTCCACAACATGCCACCTTTGATGTCTTAAATCCTGTCCATTATTTTCGCCAGTAAGGCAATAAGCCAAAATTTAATATACACACATACATGCATCATGCATGCATGCATAGATGCATTTCCTCCCTATTATTCTCTTTATCTCTGAATTATTTTCAAAATTCTTTTTTTTTTCTATACCAAAATAATTTCTCATTTCCACTTTTGGCAAAAAATTGTTGTTTGTAGCATTTCCTACACATTTTTACACATTTTCTGTCTTCTATACAAGTTTCCACCATACAATATTCACTATGTTAATCTTGGTGCTAAATGTACTTCCAAAGATAATTTAGTAAAGAGATATATTTAATTAGTCTTTTTTGGGATGTCTGGTCAACTAGTCAAGTCTCTATATATAGCCTTAGACCCTTAGTTTCCTTCGATAAGTTAAATTAATTTAGTCCAACACCAAGTAGTAACCAATTTTGGTATACATAGTATATCTTTGCAATATCAACAACATCAAAGGCTCAAAACAATACATTGTATAGGTCTTCGCCTAGAAAAAATTTAAATTTATTAAGTTGAAAGTTTTTTAATTGACCTTTTCTAAGACGCTTCATTGTTTGCTTTTTCCTTAAAACAACATAACAGGGGATTTTTTTAAAAAGATGTGAGAAAAGAAAGGAAAAAGAATCTGTTTTTTTTTTATGAAATGTCATAAACTATACATTAAAATTCTGTTCAAATAAAAAATTTGAATGAAGAAAATGCAAAAGAATGTGGAAAACATACCAAAAGATTCAGGGCTGCTAATGAAATCCATGTGCATTTGATTGGTGTTGACCCCAACAAACACATCTCCTTTGACCTCACTATTAAGTTCTTTAATCATCTGAACGAGTTGAGGGTTGTACAAGGCGGCGGCGCGCTGCAGCTCCACCGCACATTCACCTCTATGACTGTGCTGTGCTAGCTCCGCGGGCACACACCCCAGCGGCCCCGACCCGGTCACTAATACTCGGCGAGCTCCCAAATCATACAACCTCTACAAATCCATAATAAATACGGAGCATAATATATGTTGACATGCTTAAAATTAATAATTAACTAAAAAATTTAGACGATACAAAAAATTTAAAAAAACTGTAACTGGTTATACCATGGGAAATTACACTTTTGGTCCGATTTGTTCTACAAAATATAGTTTTTGTTTCGAATTTGTAAACGACATCCCTTAATTTTCCAAATTGTTGTAAATATGATCCTTTGAATGGTGACAATCACACTGTAGGCGAGGACCACATGACAACAAACCGGGCAATTGAGGTGTGATATTTACACACTTGAGAGTTGAGAATATACGAAAACTATAGTTCAATTTGATCACTATTTGAGAGACCGAAAATGCGATTTTCCCAATCACCTTTAAATGAGTAACACTTCAATGGTAAAATTGTTAATTGAAAGACAGGAACGGCATTTCAACATTGTGATATAAATTAGAGACTAAAGTGTGACTTTCAATTATCTCATGAATTAAGGAAAAGAATAAAAAGAATATTACCTTGAGTATCTTTTTGTATTTGGAGATGAGAAGAGTGACATATTGAGGGAGGGGATATTGGCGAGACCTATAAGAAAAGGGCAGCAAATAATAGTTGTTCACGAAATCATTACCGCCCAGAGATATTAGAACTAGTGCCTCGTTCACCAGTTTCTTTGTCTTGTTTGCCCCTTCCATTTCTGTCACTCTTTGTTGGTACTGTTCAAAATAGGCCAGTTGCTGTGGCATCCGAATTATATTTACCTGCAAATTATGATATAAGTCCCTTCATTCAATTCTTCCAAAAAAAAGTCCTCTCATTCAATTAGTAATAATGTAAATACTACGTAGTGCATATCTTGAATTAAAACCGTGTCTTTGCTAGTTAAAGTTCATACTTTTTCTTTGAATTAAATCTGAATTAAAATTCCTTAAATGTGACCTTTATTAGTAAATGAAACTACAAAGTATATAACATTGAGCACATTATTGCAAACAGTACTTCCTATATGTTGTTGAAACAAGCAAGTTACTTGTATATTTGATCCACAAGAATTAAATACGAAGTATATTTTAAGAGAAAATTCGTTAAATAGGAGTAAAAAAGTTTTAAAATTACAAAATAGAATTGTCATATTTTTGTTCCCTAAATAGAATTGGCCAAGTTCGGCATTATGGTGCTTTCAATATGACAGTTTCTGCCAAATTTTTTCAAACTTGACAGAAAATACTCTTATTAAGAGAATAAAAACACGAAGATCATATTTTGGAAATAAAAACAAAACATTTTTATTCTTATTCGGGACAGTTTCTCATGTTTTAATTGGACGTATTATTTCAGTCTCAAACAAAACCAGACATATGTGTCCACAAAACTTTGGTAATTGTAAAAAGAGAGAATTCCCTAAATAGGAGTAAAAACGTTTTGAAATTCCAAAATAGGAGTATCATGTTTTTATTCCCTAAATAAGAGTAAATTTTTGCCAAGTTTGGCATTACAAAGGCTTTTTAACATGGCATTTTCTTCCAAATTTGGCAGATTACTCCTATTCAGGGAATAAAAAACATGATACTCCTATTTTGGAATTTCAAAACGTTTTTACACTTATTTAGGGCAATTTCTGTTGTAAAAAAGACATAGAATATACGTCTATCAATCTAATTCAAACTACATCAAATTAACCAAATCAGACCAATTTGTAACGGGTGAAGCAAATACACTAGTAAGTACAAAGTACGATACTGCTTCTCTTTTACAAGAAGTCATATTTGTAACGGGAAGCTTACGAATGCTTGGTTGAATAGAGTTGACTTACGAATTGGATTCCGGTATCATTAAGTATTCCCACCCCGGCCGAAGCAAAGTTCGCACCTACCAGAAGCTTTTTCCCGGTCAACGCCGGGCTCAGATATGGCATTAGATGCTCCGAGCCCAACTTCTCACCTGTAATAATTAATTATGAAGTTACAATTCGACCAATTGGCAATTACATATATTTATAGTAAGTTATTTACCATACACGGTGTATTATAAAATGATACTTATTACTCCCTTCGTCCCAAAATGATGGTCCCATATTTCTTTTTTGGAATTTCCCAAAATGATGGTCATGTTTTCCTATTTGGAAAGAAAGACGCGATCCACATCATTTCACTCTTTTCTACTCAAATCTCAACCACAACTTTTACCTTTTCAACCACTTTATTAAAATTTGTGTCCAAAAGAAATGACACCATCAAATTGGGACGGAGGTAGTATTTAAAATGTTCTTTGTTTAAAAAATTACTCCATATAGTTTTTGAAAAATATACTCCATATCAATCATAATCATTGGCCAAAAATATTGAGGGGCAGAGGGTAATATCCATGTTAGCACGATTTGGTTTGAGTTTGATAGCATTTTCATACCGAAGTAAATCAAACCGAATTGAAAGAGTGAAAAATCGAATAAAACCAAACCAAATTTAAATATTCAATAAATTTGCAATACATTTTAAAAATAACAAATCAAATTAAAATAACCAGAACCGAATCAAGCCGAAATATAATATGATTTTTCTTTAGTAATATAATCTTTCTTCTAACCCGTTTTAAACAAAATCAAACAAAAAAACAGATAAAAGTCAAACCGAACCGGATATATATTCAATATGCCCACCTCTAAATTAATTAAATACGAAGTATATGTATTTGATCTTCAATGTAAACATAAAAGTCAAAAGTTCGTTACAAATAAGTATAATAATTTATGTACAAAAACGAAATATGTTAACTGTGTGTCTATTTTTGGAGACGTAGTAGGTAGAAAATGAATGAACATAAAATAAAATATCGGCAGTGTCACTCCACTGCTCACTTCCTACTATATATACTCACTAGACTGTAAACGCTAAATTAAACCAATTTGTAACGACGTACTGATGATATCGGGGATGTTAAGGCCATTGGAGAAGCGGCCGGTGGGGCGGTGAGTGGGATAGTCAATGCCGTAAGGCGGAGAATCAGCGCGAGCGGTGGTGGCGAGGAAGTTGTTGTTCCCATTGTCCACCAACGAATCCCCGAACACGAAAAACGCTCTCCCACCACCGCCCCCGCCATCTCCGCCTTCCGCCACCTGAAGTGCCGCAACAATCAAGAAACCAAGAATCATCATCATCGTCTCCTCCTCCTTTAAGCGTCTACTCAATACAATATTTTTGTTGCAAAACTTAGCGGTAGCGCCCATGCATTTATATACGGAGTATAGTACTACCTACTACGTATAATTTAATTGTGGTACTTAATTAAGAGCAATGTATCAAAGATGGAAAACCCATAAGAAGAAGAAAGCGTGTTTTGATTATATAATTATAATAATGATGGGTTTATATGGAAATTATAGAGAGGAAAAATTATAAGGGCTGTGGCAAGCGAGTTGGATTTTCAACTGCATTACGTAATGTTTAAGTGTGTATTGTGATCATCAAAGCATGGGGAAGTTAGTGGTTAAGCTTGGGAATTTAATATGGTTAAATGCGTTTATTACTTGACCGGTACGTGTAAGCTAATAAGCTTGTATAATAAGCTAAGATATATAGGTTGAGAGGCTAAATAATGGACTCAGCCCCTTAATTTGAGTGTACATACATCATTTGTTAGTTGAGAAGAAGTGGCTAGCTGCTCAACTATTATTACCATAAATTATCACCAAGTTTAATTGCGTCCGTGAGCCGAAATTTGTTGACTGTTGTGGAGTATTAACATTACAAATATTGGCTGGAATAAAGAATTAAAGATGATAGCCGGAACATAGATTCTCTTCATATATATAGGAGCACAAGTTCGGGCCGGATGCAGGATTTTAATCTAAGTCAAAATTTTCAAACATACTACTTCGTCCCAATTTGTTTTGAGTCAATTTTTTTTGGTAAACCCATATTAAAGTTAAATCCCCCTATTGTCCCTATTGATAATTAATTAAAATTTAATAATTCTTTTTGAAAGAATTAAACTTTAACAATAAAAACATATTCAGAATCTAAATTAAAATTTAGATAAAGTTACAAAATCTAAATTAAAATTTAATTAAGAATTGATATTTTAATTAAATGAATAAAGTGAATCTGTTTGACTCAAAAAGTTAATTTTGCAACTCAATTTGAACCCTCACTACAAGAAAATGTTAAACTATAATAGAAAGGAATTTAGGGATAACAAGTACGAAGTAGTTACTCCGTATATTAGAAATAATAAAATAACGTTTACTAAGGATGTTTTCTTTTTAACTGAAATTTGCTAGTCTGGTCTGGTCCGATCTGGTCTGATCTGGTCTGGTATGGTCTAATAAACGTCTGATCTCTGTGTATTTTATAATTACGGAAGTTTGGTCTGGTCTAGTCTGGTCTGATCTGGGGCTGAAAATAGTCCAAAAGAAAACATCCTAATATAAAAGATAATAAGACCAATGTAGTGGATTGGAAACTTCATTAATTATCTATAGCTTCTGGGAAGCAAACATAGCCAAACATGAAACATATAGAGCCCGTTTGGTAGCACCAAAATCGGCTGTTTTGGCTGATTCTGCTGAAATTTATGATATTCTGGCTGGAGTGGCTGTTTTGGCTGATTCTGCTGATTTAAGAAAAAAATATTTTAAAAATATATTTTATTAATAAATTAAAGAAAAAATTATATGTAAAAATAGCTAAAATGGTCCTCTACAGTAACTTCAGCCAATACAGCCAGAAAAGTAACTCCAACCTTACTTTTTCGGCTTATTACACAATTCAGCGCGCGAAAGTAAAAGTTACGTGTTTGGTGAAAAAGCTGGCTGATAAGCCTGATAAGCCGAAAACAGAGTTCTCCAAACAGGCTCATAGAAAGATAAACTGATCAAATTCTTTTCCGAGACGTGCATTTTTGTCGAATCATTTCTCATTGTCTTTTTTTCTCCTATCAAACACAGAAGAACACTTTCACTTAACTTGATCATATATTCATATGTATATATGGCTTACTAAATTGTATTTCCTTCGACCCTAAATAAACATTTCACTTTACTTTTTAGTTCGCCCCTAAAAAATTAAAAGTCATCTTTCCTTATTTGATGTACAAAACAATGCAAAACAATGTCGAATATTGTCAAACAATGTCAACCGGTATCAAACAATGTCATTTTCTTAAAATGTGTGTGATTCAAAGATGCACTTTCAAACAGGGAGAGGAGGTATGTATATAACTACTACACATAGTTCGCACATATAAAATCATAAACTAATACAAGAACAAACCTACAACACATAGGAGCATTGTATTTTATTTCATTCAACTTTAAACCACGCAGAATACATTTTGCTTTAATTTTGATAGTGTGTTGGACAAATTTTCTCGGGAGTTTGCGATATTTTAAAACACTAAATAAATTCATCATAATATAGGTTATGACCTGACGCCATTAACTTGTCAAAACTATATACTTCGTACGTACGTAGTATCCGCACATGCCATTAACAAGTTAATCCATTGATTGCAAAAAACACATATTAAAGATTCAAACACAATTTCTTTAACCGGGAACTTATACAATTTGCTAATATAATATAATTACAAATTTAGGAATTTGAGTTGCACAAGTCAAGCTAATCAATCACAAAGAATTTCAAAGTTTATAAAATCATTAGGAATTAAGGGCCTGAGATTAAAAAAAAAACATTATGCATACTACGCTCTCTAGCAAAGATGACAGCGTCCCAAGTAATTGAAAAAATAATAGTTATAGCTAACATGACAATGCATTTATTAAATATACTCACTTAATTAATTAGCTAGATAGTGGAACCCTAGCTAGAATAATTGGGCTCGATCTTTTGAGCCGAGAGACATTACAATAAAAATAGGAGGAGGAATACAAATAAGAAGAAGAGAATGACTGGATTAGTCAATAATTATAGCTTAGAATCTAATTCCATGATGGTGCTAAGGTTCATTGGGTTCATGTAGCTGGAAGGTCCAGAAAACATCCCCTCCACAATGATCCTGTTTGCCTTTTCTGATGGATGAAATGCATCCCAAAACGCATATAAGTCTCTGTTTGGGCATAAGTTTGATGCTGGTGTGCATAGTCCTATTCCATTGTATGGTCCTTGTCCACAACATGCCACTTTTGAAGTCACAAATCCTACATTTTCATTTGAAAATAAAATTTAATAACATGTGATTATGTACTAAGCCATCCCCGGCAGTTAATTAAAAAAGTTTAAACTCACATGTAAACCCATTTACCTTTCATCATATCAACCTTAAACTTAAACTTAATATGATTTCAAAGTCAATTAAACTTCAACGAGCAATTAGATGATAGTAAACTTCAAGAATGACCACAATCTTTATGAATGGAATTGGTTGCTCTAATAATGAGCCACAGGATGACTAATATTATGATGAAGAGCTGTTATTATTTTTAATAGCTAATACTTTTGAAACATTCATTAATTTTTGACTGTTATATGAAACCAAAATATATTAAACTAATATGATTGATACACAATAAGAATAACTTAAAATTCGAGGTAACTATTGAATTTTGAATATACAAAGTTGAACTAGTACTTCCGCTCCACCTAAAACACGAGAACATTATTTCTCTCTCATGGAAATATACTTCAATCCAACTAGAGAACATTCACTGAGGATAAACTCCCTCCACTCCAAATGGATTTGCATAGCCAATATTTTTTTGTCAATCAATATTAAAGTTTAATCCCTTTGTTGATAATTAATTCAATTTTTAATAATTAAAATTTACATATTAAGAAATTGCATTAAAATCTCTTCAAAACAGCAAACTCAAAATTAGAATATAATTAAAAATTGGCATTCTAGTTAATTGAATAAAGTGAAACTATTTGACTAAAGAAAGTCAATTTTACAAATTAATCTGGGAAGGAGATAATACCATTTTAAAGAGTATACTTAAATTTAACACATATGCGTACGTACCATACGCTTGAGGGTTGTCGACGAAGTCCATGTGCATATCGTATGTGTTAGCCGCTATGAAAACATCGGCGTTGAGCTGAGTGTTGAGCTCGCTTACCATTTGACCGAGTTGGGGATTGAATAGTGAAGCAGCTTGTTGCAGATCAACTGCACACTCACCGGCTCGGCTCCTCTGAGCCAGCTCAGCCGGCACACACCCAATTGGCCCCGTCCCTGTGACAAGAACCCTTCTAGCTCCAATGTCATATAACCTCTGCAATATTGTACAACAGTAAAATGTTAGACACAATTTCTATACCTTTGTAGTGTATTGTTGTTATAAATATGGGCAAAACATGTTAGGATTGGAAAATTCTTCTATTCATAACCAGAACAGAATTACAATAGGAGGAGCAACTCTCTCACTCAACTATTACAAAAAACCAACCCTCTCATATACTCACACTCTATGTATATTGCTCTCACTCTTTCACTCCGAATTTTGATGCATTTGATCAAGCTAGAACCACCCTATTTATAGGGAAATGCTGGGAGACAATTGCATGCAGCCCATATAGCATCCCATGCCTTCCCATGCCTTCCCATGCCTTCCCATACCTTTTAATTGATGGAGGATGGAGCTTCATGCCATGGAGTGGGTGTGTGTATGGGAGCTGCAGCAATCCTACAAATCTCCCCCTCCAGCTTTTTCCGTAATTCTCTCATTCCAATGATGCTTGTACATAGCTTGTGCTTCTCGTGTGGCACCACTTTAGTTAGCATGTCTGCCGCATTTTTGTTTGTGTGTATCTTGGAGAGCTTTAGTTCATCTTCCTCAATTGCTTCTCTAAGCCAGTGATATCGAACATCGATATGTTTTGTGCGTGAATGATACATCGAGTTCTTGCTAAGATCCATAGCACTCTGACTATCACAATGAATGATGTACTCCTCTTGAGGATAGCCCAACTCTTGGAGAAAACGTTTCAGCCACTTGAGCTCCTTCCCGGCTTCAACAGCGGCAATGTATTCAGCTTCTGTCGTAGACAATGCTACACACCTCTGCAACTTGGACTGCCATGAGACGGCTCCCCCTGCTAGTGTGAATATGTAACTTGAAGTAGATTTTCTACTATCAAGATCTCCAGCCATATCAGCATCTGTATAACCTTCCAAGATTGGTTTCGCTCCCCCGTAGCACAAGCATAGCTTTGATGTACCCTTCAGATAC